TCAGGTAAACCATATCAGGTAAACCAGAGGCTCAGTGATGTCACCGTGAGAACTGCTATTCCTGAGGAGGCTGCACACTTTCTACTCCTGCTCACAGAATCTTGATCTGGGGAACCTCCAGCCTGCTTCGACCCTCCAGGAACCACCAGGTTTCTCTGCTGGGTGGCCCTCTGTGTCCTAACAAAGGTGATTCCTCAGAACATAAAGCCATTTCGTTGCATGTGTGTGCGAGGACTAAAATTTTCTTGTCATTCCATTTCCAATTTCTGACTCCACAAATCACACCAAAATTGAAGTCTCCCAGTCCTCCAGGTATAAGGTCATAAATAAGGAACAGACTATAGTTTAAAGGTGTAATCCAATTCACGGACACAGTTGCCTTTACTGGTACCTACAGACCCTGGGGCAGAGCCTGGAATTCCTGATGTATTTCCAGAATGAATTTCTATCATGCTTACGAGGGATGCCTTGTGAGTATGAGCAGTTCTCTGCTGAGAGAATTGAGGGCACCGTCTCTATTCAGAAATTCAGCCAGCAGAGCAGGAGGACTCGACCATGTATCTCTATGCCAGAAGCTTAGCCACAATGGGAGACAACCACCTCCTTCATCTTCAAAAACCTCATGAGCTCAGCTCTGTCCACTGTCCAAGCAGCCTAGAACAAAGAGTTTCTGGGTCTTCCTTCAGAGCTCAGAATGCATTCAGAACTTCAGATTTCTAAAGTAGGAAGTTAGGAAATAAGTTCAGGTAGATAACACCATTACACAAGTGGGTCCATAGTATTGAGAGACTCCAAAAAGAAATTGTTAAAAGCTAGACGTCTTTAAATAATAATTGGCTCTCTAGCAAAATAATTCCAACATACTATAGGTTGATAAATAATGTAGTCAAAACCTATAAAATAATTGTATAAAGATGGGAAAATGATGAATGCACAAATATCATACCATTGTAAGTTTTTCATAAATTATGCAAAATTACTTAAAGGTGGACTGTGTTAAAATACAGATGTTTACTGCATGCTCTATAGCAACCACTAAAATAAAAAAACACAAATCTATGGCTTATAGGCCAACAAAAACAAATGAATTTATGAAAGCACTCAACTAATCCATAAAATGGCCTTTAAATAAGAACAAAGAAGAGATGAGACCAATATAGAAGAAATGCAAGATGAAAGGCATGAATATAACAAGATCAATAATCATATCAAATCCAAATTATCTAAATAGGCTAAACATGCTAGTTAAAAAATAGATTGTAATACTGAATAAAATATATACATAATAAAACAATATGCTTACTATCTGTGTGTCTGTGTGTGCACCTTTAAAACATCTGCAAAACCTATCATTAATAATATATATGTGGGCCAGGGATTTAAATCAGTGGCTCTGCTGCCTGCCTTGAGAGCACAAAGACCTGAGTTGGATTCCCCGGTAAGAAGAAAAAAAAAAAATTAAAAAAAAAATATATATATATAGTAGCTAGGGAATATGCTTACTATCTGTGTGTCTGTGTGTGCACCTTTAAAACATCTGCAAAACCTATCATTAATAATATATATGTGGGCCAGGGATTTAAATCAGTGGCTCTGCTGCCTGCCTTGAGAGCACAAAGACCTGAGTTGGATTCCCCGGTAAGAAGAAAAAAAAAAAATTAAAAAAAAAATATATATATATAGTAGCTAGGGATTTAGCTCAGTGGTTTCTCCTGCATTTGCAAGGTCTCAAGTTCGATCCCTGATACCCCCCCCCAAATATATATGTATGTGTGTGTGTGTGAAAAAGATAGATCTCATAACAGTGCTTACTATCTGTGTGTCTGTGTGTGCACCTTTAAAACATCTGCAAAACCTATCATTAATAATATATATGTGGGCCAGGGATTTAAATCAGTGGCTCTGCTGCCTGCCTTGAGAGCACAAAGACCTGAGTTGGATTCCCCGGTAAGAAGAAAAAAAAAAAATTAAAAAAAAAATATATATATATAGTAGCTAGGGATTTAGCTCAGTGGTTTCTCCTGCATTTGCAAGGTCTCAAGTTCGATCCCTGATACCCCCCCCCAAATATATATGTATGTGTGTGTGTGTGAAAAAGATAGATTACTCATAACAGAATGCCTACAAGTCCATTATGAAGAAGACAGTTCAGTCTAAGCAAAGGATGGAAAGAGATGAACAGACAGTTCAAAAAGAAGATGTATAAGGAGGCATTTTCATCTTCTTAGAGCCCTTGGATAATGTCCCCAGTTGCCGAGAAGAGCTATTGGTTGATACAATTCGCTGTCAGTGCTCCTGAGAGTTACCTTTAGTTAGTGTTTTGCTCAGCTCCTGCCCCGTTCTGAGGGCAGCTAGCAATGATGGGAGGGTTTCTCCCTTCCTACATTGATGAGATTTATAATTTATTTTCCCATTTTCAGGGAAAAAAGAAGTCTACTTCATATTTCCTTCTGTATAACAGGCAGAAGCTGAGATTACTGGAAAGAGCCAGGCTCCCGAGACAGCATCAGTATTGCTAAATCCTGGTGACTGCGCAGTGGCCACATGAAGGCGCTGTGGATCCGCTGAACGGACCTCAGAGGGCGCTTCTTGGAGAGGGCGCGGTCAGGGTCAGAATCCGGTTTGGAGCCTAAATTGGGAGAGGACCGGAAGAACCAGAGGTTGTGTTACTAACGACCTTCGCCCACCAGCCGATGTGCACGAGTGTTTATTACCACTGAGAGACGTGAACTGCAGCTTTATATAATCACAGTCTTTCCGGAGTCTAGATTTGAGGGACTTGGGGGGTGGGCAGCCTGGACCACCCCAGCCAGGAGGAGAATGGAGCACTGCCTCAGAGGAGAGTTAGAGAAGCTGAAGTGTGGATGTTCACCCCCGTACTCTGCCCCGCTGTGCTTGGCACAGCTAGCTCCCCCTGCTGACCGAAGGCTCAGCAAAGTAAGGAAGGCCAGACCTGTCCCGGGGTGCAGAGGGCCTACTGGAGGAGACAGGGACGCTGACATCATAACAGTTACATAGCTGGTGTTACAGAAAAATGCTCCAAACTGAGATAAGGGAGGAGCAAAACAGAACAGCTGCTCTCTGGCCCAGGAGACCAGCACCTTGAGGAGGGAGATGCCTAGGCCTGTCCTTGCTGACTCTCCCTGGGGACCCAGGCTCTTCTGCTGTGTGACCCTTTGTCTCCTGAGAGCAGGTGAGTCCTGAGCACAGGTGGGATGGCTCCTGGAGCCACCACTCGTTGTCATTGCTGGAGTGTCAGGTTCTCACTGTCTAGGGGCTCATTTCTCTCTCCTTCTTCCCCAGGTTTGGTGGATGCCAGTGTCACCCAGTCCCCAAGCCATCTAATCAAAGCAAAGGGAGGAAAGTCCATTCTGAAGTGCTATCCTGACTCCGGACACGATAGTGTGTCCTGGTATCAGCAGGCTCCTGGTCAGGCCCCCCAGTTCCTTGTTGAATACTATGAGATGTCACAGAGAGCTAAGGGAAGCATGCCTGGCCGATTCGCAGCTCAGCAGTTTGATGACTATCACTCTGAGCTGAACTTGAGCGCCTTGGAGCTGGGGGACACAGCTGTGTATCTCTGTGCCAGCAGCTTGGCACAGCCTTGCAGAATCACTGGCTTTCTGTACCCTAACCTTCCGGGCCCAGCTGAGGATAGAATAGGAAAGGGGTGGGAATGTCACCTTAGCCCAAGCCCTGTGGATGCTTGCAGGGCTTTGCTAACCCTCTCTCTGCTCTGCTGTGCCCAGCCACAGGGCTGGTGGATGTTTCTATTCCAGGCCTGCAGGGTGCTCTTGTACCTCTGCTAGGGCCTTCCAGTTCCTAGCAAGTGGCAGGGGCTCCAACTCTGTGCCAGTGTGTGGGTCTGTGCAGTATGTGTCACAAATACAGTGGGCGTTTAAATTAAAAAATTGATTACATTGAAAGACAATTGCCACTACCCCCATTGCCCCCTGCCTGATCACACTTATCCTCTCATTCTTGTTACTTTATGAAGCAGTTATGGAGGTTTACTTTCATGTCTTTCGTTGTGCTGCCCTGGCTGTCTCTAGGTCCTGAACTGGTTCATGTGTTTACCTTTCATGGTCATCTTGACTTTGGGCAAGAGCCAGAAGTTGCACAGTGCCAGATCTGATGTAAGGTGGGTGAGGACACACTGTAGTCATGTTTTTATGATTGCGTTGGGTTACAGCATTCAAAGAATTTTGATTATACCTTGTAAAGATACTCTCAAAGGAGGACTTTCCATCAGAAAGTGCCAGGAACCATGGAAGGAGTGTTAGGGGGAGTATTTTAAGGGGAACTAATGGAAATGTGTCTTTTACTCTAATAATTTCTTTTTACAGTTAAACATTCACTGTATGTTCTTATTCCTTCTATTATGTGTTTTAATGCAAGGATAGACACTAGGTATCCACTTTATAGATGAAGATCTCGGTATCTCCACATAGACTGGAAACTGTAGCTCATAGGCTTTCCCAGTGTTTCATACTCACAAGCATTAGAAACAGAATTGAAGCCTACATCTTTATGCCTCCAAAATAAAAGTTTACCTAAAATCTCACAGTAGTCCCTGGTCTTGGTCAATAAAATGTAGGAGAACACTATCTCTTCCATTTCAGGACCACTGAAGTAGCTGGGAGAGGTCACATTACAGATGTAGTTGCTATGGCTAACTGGCTGTCAACTTCCAGGGCACATAATATTAAGCCAGAGAATGTTTGTCCTCCTTCCGAGAGGAGATACACATTTTCAGAAATAGAAAATTTCTGACTCAGTCATTAATTGGAAAGTAAATGAAAAGGAGGTATTGTTAGTAGGTGAGATATCTCCAGGATATACTTATCTCCCCAAAGAAGTAATGTGTTGTCTGGAAGAGTGTCGTTATGGCTATTCAGGAAATGAGCCTCAGAGCTATGGAATTCCCTGTGTCTTATCCCAGAAACTCTTATATTCTGAGCTAGAAGGCTTCCTTCCTTGCCCTCACCTATCCATGATGGCTCTTTGTCTCCTAGGACTAGGTAAGCTCTGGACATAGATGGAGAAACCTTCCTGGGCTTCTCCATAGGCCCCAGCCCAGTGTCCCCTGCAAGTGCTATACGGACGTCTTCCTGTCTCCACTTCTGATTCTGTGTCTCCCTCACTACAGCATGATTGAAGAAGACACCCATTGTGATTCAGGATATGTACAGTCACAGAGAGAAGCCCTCACACTGACATATCAACTCCATAGGAAACAACAATACTCACTGCTAGTGAGTACTTGTAAATTTTTCACGAGATAATTTATGACTCAACTTTTCTATGTCATGAATACAAGATCTTCTGAGTAAATACAGAACATTTCTGTGACCATGTAGGCTCCAGAAAAGTAATGTATGTCTTAGCAAACACCTCATCCATATCCTAAGTGGGCCATCTATTTTCCTTTGGGTGAGGGTTGCTATAGGGCACAGACTGACCTTAAACTTTTGGTGGTCCTCTTGCCTAAACATCCAAAGTCATGGGCTCACAAGCATGTTTTGTGCCTTCATACCCAGTGAGCCTTCTCTTCTTTTGACAGGGACCACAATTATGGAGAATTAAAAAGAAAGGAAAATTCACACCCATGAGGGAACACTGAGCCCTGAATCTGTGGGGCAGGGCCCCCAGTAGCCTTTTTAGAAATGAAAATTGCCTTGGAGGGAAGGGGTGTGGCAGGTTAACTGTGCAACTCACACATACGTCAGGGACAGTGACATCACTGAGTCACTGAAAGCCCAAGTTCTACATCCCCCAAACAGGGCTGATGGACACAAAATCACCACCCTGCTTGTGAAATGCACACCAAGCTCTTCTCCTGTGTGGCCTTCAGTCTCCTGTGGGCAGGTGAGTGCCACTCACAGGTGGGCTTCCTTCCCTGAAATTCCTAAGACCTCAATACAAACCTTCTTTTCTAGGGGATATCACCAGGCTCTTTCTCTAATATAGGGCACACAGAGGCTGGAATCACCCAGAGCCCAAGATACAAGGTCACAAAGACAAATGAAAAGGTGACTTTGAACTGCCACCAGACCAATAACCACGACTACATGTACTGGTATCGACAAGACCCAGGGCGTGGGCTGAAGCTGATCTATTACTCATATGAAGTTAACAGATTTGAGAAAGGAGAAGTAGCCGATGGATACAAAGTCTCCAGAACAAACACAGAGGAATTTTCCCTCACTGTGGACTCAACCAGCCTGTCCCAGTCATCTGTGTATTTTTGTAGCAGCAGTTTTACCACAGAGCTGCACAGCCACCTCCTCTCTGTACATTAAAGTGCAGTTGGGAAGACTGACTATGCCCACAAACCCTGGCTCCACCTCGAGAAGCCCTAGCCCTGTAGGAGGCACAGGTTCCTGTACAGACTGAGGCCATCCAGCATGGGCAGTCTTGTTGTCAGTGCTGAGGATCTTGTCTTGATGCTCTGAGCCCAACTGGAAGTCACCTCAGCACCCTTAGCTTGCTGGTTCTCTCTTCTGTATCTCTTTTTGCTTGCAAAAATATATTTTTAGTTGAAATACAATAACTCCCTCAAAACCAGTATCTTTTACTCACCCCTGAGGGTTTCAGTGACTTCTACTACTACCCAACTCACAGTTATAAACATTGTGCTCCCAGCAGCCCTAGCCAATGAGGTCCTGTGTCATTGCCCTTGACTTATCTCTCCATCATCTGCCTTACCCTGTTTCCTCAGCTCTCTGCCCTCCAGCCACAATTCTCCACAGTCAGTTCTGTCTCCTGTGTCATTTTCTACCTGAGGAACATTTATTTCACAGGCTATTTCCTCTGCACAGAACACACGTGCCTTCCTCTTCTTCCAGGATCTCTTCACTCCTCATGAACACATATTTCAGATGCACTTCACTGTGAAAAACTAAGTTAAATATTACTAGGATGAATTAACAGACTATTTTAGCTTTCATTTGAGAGGATATTTTTTAGTGGAAACAACAGAGAATATAATACTTGAGGAATAATGTTTACCATTTCAGTTACATTAAAGTCTTCACATTAAAACTCAAAATAAAAAGTGAAAAATTAGCCCACAGGCCAGGAAGAAGCATGAGGAATGCCCATAAGTTGTGAAAGATAAGTGTGACAGAGGACATTAATGCTCATCACACTCAGGTGTCTCCTTTATGATTCCCAGCCTCTTTGCAATTGGAAGATTCACAATCTGTCTCCAGGTCCAGATGTGGATAAAAAGAATGTAATCCAGGGCTGGGGATTTAGCTCAGTGGTTCTGTTGCCTGCCTTGCAAGTGCAAGGACCTGAGTTCGATCCCTGGTACAAAACAAACAAACAAAAAAAAGGATGTAATCCAATGCCAAGACATTGGATTGACAAGACTAGCCTTGACAAGTATCCTTATATATCCCCACATGTACCCCCACATTTGGATATTTGGAGTGATATTCATGTGACACAGCATAGAGCTGCACTCATGGTTAAAATTCATGACAGTGACAGTAAGTATTCAGCAGCAGATCATGTGGAGAAGCCCATAGATATGCTCTAGAAGAATCCACACTCAGCTGCCTTATGCTCCTTTCCTTCCAGGAGGATTCACACAGAGCTCTCTATGCCCCACCCCTGCACTAAAATGTGTGCAGTGTTTTTGTTAATGGAGGTCACAAAAATTCAGAGCCTTGAGATTGTACTGAAGACTGGCACACAGCACCCCCTACACAGTGTGTACCAACAATCCAGATCTCAGAAGGAAGTCTAATGCTCAGAATGATATTGGTTGCACTGACAATCTAGGCACCATAATCCACCTTACTCAGGGAAATTTTTATTTCAGTGCAGGGCACTGTTAAACAGCCAAGCTTTCAGGTGCCAGGCAAAGCTCAACCTTGTAAGTAGGACTTCCTAAGCACAGCAGACTCAAGCCTATTATACCAACTCCTTTCTGCACAGATGTCCTTCAACTCTCTTTTGCTATGCATTGATAAACTCTGAATCTACAGGCTGCATAATGCCTTATTATAATATATAATTAGACTGGATTCCTAGGTTATAATTTTCAGACAATCGCAGCAGAAACCTGCTCATGCCACACTGAGCCATGCAGGAATGGAAATAAGGCTCACAGGGTGAAGTCACTGAATTTTGGGATTTCTTTTGTATGATTTTGTCTCTTTAGCATAGCTGGCCTTGTTTAATAGAGTTAGTATCTAGAATGGGTAAAGACTGTTCATTACATAATAAGAAAAAGATTGTCCAATAAAAGTAACAACACTTATTTTAAAATGACAAGTCATGGTACAGTAAATAAAAATTGACACTAAACAAGTAAGTAGAATCTCAACCTTACTTAGCATCAATATTTGAAAGTATTTTTTAAGTCAAGGTTATGCCTCACCAGACTGGAAAAGTTTCAAGAGTGACAGTTCAAAATATAAGTGAGATATGAACTAGTAAAAATTCTCTTACATTACCAAAGAAAACCACAACTATATCCAAAACACTTTCTGTGATGGTTTTTAACAAATAGCCTTTCTGGATAAATTATAAATTTATTCAAAATACTTGGGTTCCTTTCTTTTTTGTTGGGTATCATCATGGGGAATTCAGCTGTCAATATTTTCTTTTGTTATATGAAGGTATTTTTTTCAAATATATTTGAATAATTGTAGTAAAATATATATAACATAACATATTTGCTTTAACTATTGTAGGGGAACAGAGACTCTCTACCCTCCTAGGTTTAAATAACTGAGGCTATGAAATCAACTGACAACAGGCAGATTAACAGGAGAAAAGGTACTCATTACATCCACAATACATAATGTATTGCACACATGAGAACATCAAATTAAAGGAAGGTGAATACCTAAGCACTTAGTGAGATCTAGAGACTTATATAACCTTTTCAAAGGAAGAAGGGAAGAGTGATGCAGGCAATTTAGGAGAGGGAAAATGATTTTGGACAGAGGAGTGGGCTCTCAGAATAAGCTGCCTTGTGACAGTCTGTGTGGGTGTGTGAACCTCTAGTCTCCTCACGGTATAAATTAATCTTTCATGGGTAAGATTCTTGGGGAGAGGTATAATGCTGCTGAGTGCCTTTTGTTGGATCTGTTTTTAGGTAGATAAAAGAAGTTCAGATAGAACCGTTCCCTGCACTTGACATTCCTCCAGAGCTCTCAGTTGGAAATAGTCAACAAACCAAAGCAACAAACATACTTTGAAATGGCATTTCCTCCACATTTTCCTTGCAAAAGTACAATTTGGTGGTTTTTAAGTACGTTCACCATGATATAGTACTATTGCCACTTTCTATTTCCGAAATACTTTCCATCTCCTCAGAAAAACAGTCATTCAGCAGTAACTTCTCATTTCCCTTCCCCTACTCTCTGGCAGCTTTTAACCTACTTTTGGTTTGTATGGATTTTCTTTTCTAGAAAGTTCATACACGTAGAATCATAAAATATCACTCCTTTTGTGTCTGGTTTCTTTCACTTAGCATAATGTTTTCAAAGTTTATACAATATTGCAGCATGCATCAGAACTTCATTCCCCTTTGTGGCTGAATAATACTCCATCATATGGATATACCACGTTTTTTATCCACTCTCCAGTTTATGGACATGTGAGTTGTGTCTAGTTTTGGGGGAATTTTGTCTAGCTTTTGGCTATTATGAATAACTCTGCAATGAGCATTGGTATTCAGTGAACTTTGATTCTCTGTTTTTAATTTATATTATGAATTTATAAGTTATGAATATATATAATAATATATGTTATATAAGTTATGAATTTATAAGTTATGAAATACATAACTGGGAGGAGAATCACTAGGACATATAATCTGTTTAGTCTGGAGAATAACTGTTAAAATGTGTTTTTTTTTCTTTCATCAGCTGAACAATCTTATATTCCCACTGGACTACATGAAGTTTTCAGTTTCTTGAGAACCTTGCCAACTTTGTAATTTTTGTTTGTTTTCTTTTATTATTATTATTTTTCTTCTTTTCCATTATCTGCGAAGTCATATCTCACTGTGATTTTGATTTGCATTTCCACAATAACTAGTGATGCTAAGCATTTATTCATGTATTTATGATCCATTTGCATATTCTTTTGGGAGGGCATTGTTTTATTTGGTTGTCTTAGAGTCTGTAGGTCCTTTAATTTCAGTAGTTTTACTGTGATGAAGGTAAACGAGGTTGGGTTGAACTTCAGATGGGAAATTTGTTGTTGATAGTCTTTTTATTGTAGTACTTGTGCAGCATTTTAAATATGTTCTAGAAGAGAGAGCATGAATAATTTACTGATATTGCTAGGAACCAGGGTTCTTAGTAAGAGGAAAAACAGAGATAAGAAATGGGGAAAATATGAGGAAGAAATTTGTGGAGTTGATTTGAATTGGAAGTATCAACAAGAATTTATGGTTTTAAAGTTTATATTTTTTAACTCTAGCCAGGGAGGGTCTAAGAAGCAATTCAAAAGCCAATTGACTAGTTGCTCTATTTTCTTCGTGTTGTGTTTCCAGCAGTAATGAGAAAACCTATTGCACAGTATTTGATTTTTATGTGTTATTCCCTGAATAAAGGACAAAGAAAAAATGGTTTGGTCAAAATCTCGGGGGTGAGGCCTAGAGCATCTTTTGTAAGGAATCAAGGAAGAATGTCAGGACTAAGAAGTTTTAAAAAGGCAAACAAACAGCTAAATAAGACAATAGCTTTTCATAACAATTTTTAAAATATATGATCCTATAAAGGGTCAAATGATAAAAAGGGTGTATGAGAATCTCTTTGTTACAGAAGAGTACCAGTTAGTAAATTTAAGATATATGAGAAAATTAGAAAATCAATATAACCATCAGCGTAGTTATGGACAAAAGCCATCAGGTGAAGCTAAAACAATGGATTAAAGGCTGCTGGAAAAATGGATATTTATGTTTCTCAATGTATCAATCCAGTGCTTGTTTACTGACATTGGGTAAACAGCTTTTTGATGGAGAGATCTTGTGTCCACCACCTCAAATTTAAAGTCACTAGCTGTGTGTAATGATGACATTGCATTTCCTTGTAACTGAGTAGACATAATGGGAAAACTCCATTATGGACGGTATATCTTTACCACAATAATCACTAGTAATGTGAAAATTTTTATTGTGGGGTCATTTTGCTGGTCAGTTGACTTATCTACACTTTTCAAAATGTTAAGGTCATAAAAAATGGAAAGTATCATTAGTGAGATAGAGATTTCTGGTTTAAAAGTAACTGAATCTTTAATCTCAGCTACTTGGGAGGCTGAAGCAGGAGGATCAGTTGAGGTCATGAGTTCAAGACCAGCC